CCCCTGCAGCCGCAGCCGCCGCAGCTGGCCCGGGCCCTGCAGCGGAGGCAGCATGTCCAGCTGGTTCCCGCGGAGGTCCAGGGTGCGCAGACGTGGGCAGCGGGCGAAGGCCCTCGGGTCCAGGGCCTGCAGTGCCCCGTGGTCCAGCAGCAGCTCCCGCAGGCCGGGCAGCACCAGCGCATCCTCCTCGCCCACGTAGGTCAGCGGGTTGTGGCCCAGCTCCAGACGCACCAGGCCCCGAGCCTGGGACAGCGCCAGCCCGGGCAGGGCCTGCAGCTCGTTGTGGTGCAGGCTGAGGCGGCGCAGGGTGGGCAGGCCGGCCAGGGCCTCGGGGGCCAGCACGCTGAGCGCGTTGTGGGACAGTTGCAGCCAGCGGGCCCGCAGCAGCCCCTGAAAGGCCATGGCCGGCAGGTAGACGAGGGCGTTGTGCGCCAGGTTCAGGGTGGCCAGTGCCCCCAGCGCCCCGAATGTGCCCGGGCGCAGCTCCTCCAGCAGGTTCCCAGCCAGCTCCAGCCGTTGCAGAGAGCCCAGCCCATCCAGAGCCTCCTGGGGCAGCACACGCAAGCGGTTTGAGGCCAGGTTGAGGAGGAGCAGGCGGCCCAGGCCTCGGAAGGCCCCTTCAGCCACCAGCTCTACTCGACAATGGCGCAAGTCCAGGTGTGTCAGGTATGGCAGGGCCCCAAAGGCCGCTGGGGGGATCGCCTTCAGCTTGTTGCCCTGGAGATCCAGCCGTTGGGTCAGCTGGGAGGGAGGGATGGGGGCTGAGAGGCACAGGGACCACACCAGGGACCCCTCACTCCTCCCCACCTTGGGCTCATTTCTATCCGTTCTGCTGAACTCAGCTTCCCTGACACCTCCTCCAGGAAGCCCTCCTCCCAGCCACCTGGGCCTCCCCCACCGTGGTGCTTTGCACATTCAATGTCACTGTCCGGTTACCCTCTCTGCCCCCGACCAGCTCATGACTCCTTAGGACAGACACCACTTCTAACCTTGCATTTGTCCTTTACCCTATAATGAATTCGCTATCCGATCACACAGTAGAGATTTTAAATAGATCATCTCCCTTGTTATCAGTTGTGTTTATTGTTTATTTCTAGATGTGACCTCTGAGGCTCAGAGAGGTGAAGAGACTAGATAAGGTCTCCCAGCCAGGGCTCCTCCCACCGTCCCTGTCCTGCTGACCTCGGGGATGGTGTCTGGCACCTCAGTGAGGTTCTGCTGCCTGCAGACAGCATGCCGCCTGGAGCTGTCACAGATGCAGACCCGTGGGCAGCGCTGTGCAGCAGCTGCATGCCGTGTTGGGCCCGGCGGCGGCAGCAGCAGCGGCAGCAGCAGCACCAAGAAGAAAGGGGTGGAGCTCTGGGGCCTGGAAGGAGGAGGGAAGGTCAGTTGTCCATGGGCATGGTCCCCATGCTGTCCACTCACAGAGCCACAGCCATGATACCACTCCTGCCCCAGAGTCTCTCAGGTGCCTCCCGCCCTATGGCCAGGGAAGGCCTGTCACATGCCCCTCAGTGGTGGCCGTTCTATTATTAGCCCTGTTTTACACTTGAGGAAACTGAGGCTTAGGAAGACCACCCAGGGAGTCCTTTGACCATAGGCCAGGTAGCTCAGCGAGGATTTACTGGGGCTCAGATTGGGGGCCACTGGCAGAGAGAGGTGGTAGTAGAGAAGCAGCCTTCCTGGCAGATGTGGCTCAGAGACCACCTGGAGGAGAAAGCTGGGCAGTGGGAGGGAAAAGACCAAGGCTCAGCTTCCCGAGACCAGCCTGGGGGGCGTGGTGGTGGAGGGCCTGAGGCCCCTGAACAATCCTTACTGACGCAGTCAGAACCACACTGTCGGGGTGATGAGGTGACTTGGCCCTCTTCTCTCTCCTGCATTAATTTTCCTGTGTTCTGCTCTCATTGGAGTACCATCAACTGGCTTGGATGGAGTCCCAGAGAACTGAGGGCAAGGAATTGGGGTAGTGCTTTGTGCTAATCCATCCTCATAATCCATCCACCTAATCTATCCATCCACCCATCCATCTGCTCATCCATCTACCCACCTACCCATCCATCTACCCACTTGCCCATTCATCCACATATCCATTCAAGCAATCATCCATCCATCCATCCATCCATCCATCCATCCATCCATCCATCCATCCATTTATCCACCTATCCATTCAAGTGATCATCCATTTGGTGCTTTCATCCGCGCACCCATTCACTCACCCACCAGCCCCTACTTTGGCGCCCTCTGCTCACAACCATACCACTGCCCATACCTTCTTACAGGGTGATCACTTCTGGCATGACTCTCCTGGACTCCCCTGGACACCACTTAGCACCCATGAGCCAAAGAAATCTTTCTGATACACCGATGAGACCATGGTAACCCCACCTAGAAGCCCTCCATCAGCTCCCCACTACCTTGATGGAAAGTGCTAAGTCCTTATTTCCCCAGTTGTGTCATCCCCAGCACTACTCCCCCATACACACACATACACACAGCTTGCTCAGACCCCTCTCTATGCTAGCTGTCTGTGCTACCTTATGCTAACTCTTCCCTCTGTCCCCAGAGAGGTCCCTCAGCGGCCTTCCCTGATCCCGGGCTGAGCCCCACATCTTTCAGCATCCCCCACCTCCTCACTCGATTGTCACTGTCTGTTTGGCAGTGTCCTTTGGGTCCCAGCCCACCTAGGGCTCCTGGCCTTCTACAGAGCCCGTGGTGAAGGCTGTGGCTCAGCACCACCAGGAAGGGGGCTCGTGGGGACAGATTCCTGAAGGGACAATTGTCCAGGGCTCGGTTGGCTGCTGAGCTGTCAGACAGGCTCCCGAAGGACTGGACCACAGGAGCCCACAGGAGCTGTCACCTTCCAATACAGTGTCTTCCTCAGAAACCCAGCCAGGGAGACCCAGAGCCCCGCCCCCAGCCTCTCAGAGTCCCATAAGGTGCAGGGGCGTCCCTTCCGAGGCCACTTGGCTGCTTTCAGCGCCCCTTCCACCTTCAGGGCCCCCAAGACTCACCCCTCCATGCTTCTGCCCTGCCAGCCCAGCCTGAGTCGCAGCACAAGGAGAAGGCCTCCGGAGGCCCCCTCCCCGGCCCAGGCTCACAGGCCTGGCAGCAAGGACAAGGCTGAATGGAAGGCATTGTTGCAGCTCACAGCTCACTTCCCCAGGCGGAGGCGAAGGAGGGGCTGGGAGCAGCAGCTAGAGTTCCCGGCCTCCTGCCCAGCCTGGGCTCAGGAAGGCAGCCCAGGCCGGAGGTCTTGGCCCAGGTGGCCAGAGTGGCTGGTCAGCACCAAGGGGGAGTCGGGGTGCAAAGACCCAGCCTGCAGTCAGCGATCTGGGCTCCCAGGCTATGTGGCCCTGGATAGGGGCTGCCCCTCACCCAGCCCTGATGTCCTATTGCTGTTAGCTGCCTTGGATCTGTTCTTGAGTCATGGAGATGCTATATGGCGGAAGAGGACTGCCCCACAGAACTTTCTAGTCTGCAGTGTTCATGGGAAGGAGCCGTGGCGCTGCTGTGGTCACACTGGGCTGTGATCTGTAAGGCCGGCAGTTAGAAACTCCCTCGGGAGAAAGACAGGGCTTTTCCGCTGCTGTAGACTTCCGTTCTCTGAACCTCACAGCGGCAGTTCTCCCTTGTCCTACAGGCTGCCTGTGAGTCGGCATCGGCTCGATGGCAGGTTTGGTTTGGCATCCGGTTATTAAAATAATATGAGCTTGTTGTGGAAATAGAAAACAAAAGAGAGTTAATGAAGACCACCTGTCACAGAGACCTGTCAACATGGTGCTGCTGTGGATTGTCTGTCTGGGCTTTTGTCTGTGTCTCTGTAGGTTGACCTCAGACTCTGGTTTCTCTTCACATCATATAGGTGGACCTCATGAGGTCTCATATACAGAAGACATACCAAACACAAACAAACAGCCCAACAGCAATGCCATTCTGAAACACAGGTAAACCTCAGTGGAAAACAAAGCAGAAAATATAAAAACTGGAGCCATTGCACATTGGATCCCGAGGGAGGTCAATGGCAGGGTGTCCCCTTTTGACCTAGCTCCAGTTGCAGTGATCCACCCTGCAGTGTACGCTGTCTGATCACAGGTCTGTCCTGTCCCTGGTCCATATATAGTCAGAGGGGATTCACCTGAGGCTTATTCTGCATGGGGAACCCTGAGAATGGGTTTGGGGCATTCACTGTCATCCGCAGCCGTTTGCAAACTGGGTTTTCAGAATTCAAGCTCTGATACAAGTCCCTCCTCCAAGTTTGGATTTGATCACTGACAATTCCTGAATCACATTGACTGGTGTGCCTCTTCAGGTGGACTTAGCTGACATCTCACTAAATTAAGGTAACCAGACATCTCGCTTTTGGCGGGACAGTCCTGATTTAAAACATCCCGCAGCGTTTTAAAAAAGTCCCGATTGAAGAGCAAATCGGAGTGCAGTGTAGTAACAATGAAATATGCAATTTTCCTCTAGTTCTTAAATGCTTCCTCCACCCTGCTACCATGATCCCAATTCTACCTTACATATCCAGCTGGACCGGAGGAAGTGCACTGGCACAGATAGGAACTGGAAATACAGTGAACCCAGGACAGATGAACC